TTAATTATCTGGCCTCTTCACCACCAGCTTGGAGGTAAAGCATTCTTCCATTCATAGCGCCACATTGTATAGCCCATAGTGCGCTTGTTTAATTTAATCAGTAATTATTTATTTATTCATTTATTTTGTCCTTGCTGCTGTTGCTGCTTCATATTAGGAATGTAAGGGAATTGTAATTTCTGCATGAGAAATGCTGGCTTTGAGACAGTGTAAAGTCTGGATCTTTTTTGAGTGCTAGGAAGTAATAGCCAGGATTCCATTCGCCCAGCTCTGATGTTGTTCCTTTGGCTGGGTGCCGCGTTTCAAGCATTGCTTTAGCCGTTCTTCTGTCCATATTGGCACAGCATCTGTCCTCTTCAGAACAAAGAGCAGACAATGAATTGGAATGAGTGACACTTGTGAGCAGGAGGAAACTGGGTGAGTTCCAGGCGTGGATGAGGGACAATTTAAATAGGGAAGACAATAGATTGCTGGCATTCTTTGGCATGTGGCGAAGCCCAGGAGTGGAGGTTTTGAGTTATCAGGCGTGGTGTAGTGACACTGCTCCAGTCAAAAAAATGTCTTATATAATATGATGAAGCCTATGTATGCTGTAATTGCACAGTATTGGGTTGTTTTTTATTGGGTGCTGTAGATGACCTTGAGTGCTTCTATGGCCCAGCTTTTCATAAAACTGAATGTGGGGGTCTCATGGAAAATTCAGCAGCTTTTAAGACAAACTTCTACACTCTGCAAACTTCTGTGTTTCTACTAAATGGTATGATAATCCAAAGGGCGAGAAAAGCCTGCCTTTCTGATAGGCTAGCAGTTGAATTCAAAGAAACAAAGCAGTGGTTATGTCATAGTAAGACCCTGTGTTTGTTGTCTGGACTAGATTTTTGTTTCTTGTGGTAACCTATGCTTCATTAGTGTTCTCAGTGGAATGGTGTGGTGTCTGTTGTGTGTGGTAGTCCTGGCAAAAGAATCAGTTAGGACCATTATCAGTAGCATTAAAAAAGAAATTAGTGGTGCACTGATTAACAACTGGCCAACGATATCGGCCCCAAAAATCTTTAATGAGCCATATCAGCGATGGGTATCGGCCTACATGCAGCCGAGCAGCATGGAGAGCAGCGTCCCGCTGCTGCATATGTTGGGGGGGAAGGGCGTGGGGGGGCAGATTGAGGGCCCCTGTGGTGAGGGAAGAAGTGGGGCTGGGGCAGGCACCACACGGGCGAGGCGTGGGACAGATCCATGAGCAGCTCTTCCAGGGAGGTGGGGGTGGCTCCTGCTGCTGCGTGCACTCCTGAAGTGCCCCTCCCCTCCCACCCCAGATCTGTGTGCTGGGTGGGGGTGGGCTGCTGCTATCATCTGGGGCAGCGTTGGACTCTTCCTGGTGGGTGGGACTGGTCCAGGGCTGTGCTCAGGGTGGGTGGTGGTGGTGCTGGGAGTGGAGACTATTAGGGGGGCTACAGTGAAATCTGGGGTGGCTATAGTTCCCCCTTGCCCTGTGCACAGGTCTGGGGGGCACCCCCCCATGCTTGCCTGAGGGTGCACGTAGCAGCAGGAGTTCCCCCCCCTCCCCGGATGAGCTGCTTGTGGCTCTGTCCTGTGCCCCGCCCCAGCCCCACTCCTTCCTTCACTGCAGTGGCTTTGCTCTGCCCCCTTCCCTCCCCTCCACCCCTTAACCCTCAGCAGACTTACCAGCTGGAGGCCGCCGGGTTGGCCATGTGCACGTAGCATTTATCAGCAACATTATCAGCCACATCAGCCAAAAAAAGCCAATTGCCGATAATATCAGCTTTTTTTTCCGGCGCCAATATGATATGGACCGATGTATCAGTGCATCTCTAAGAGAAATAATAAACCATTACTACATCTCTGAACACGAGTCAGCTTGAAAGTAGAATGTTCTTGGCATTAAGGTGGCTGGGTGCTTTTTGTGTTGAAGGGCAGCGACAAAGTACATGACAGTTTTTAAGTAGTCGACTTCTCTGTGGAGTAGACGCAGAAATATATGTAGATAGGTCAGTTTCAGGAATTGTGCTATTTAGTCTGAAAATAGAATACCACTCATTATCAAAACTTCCTTTTTTATGCCTTTGGGCCTTGTTTGTTGTGCATTTAACATGCTTATTTACTGTTCTACAGAAATAAAAGTTTATGTTGTATTTGACAAGCTGTCAAACTAGGAAATACCAGGACAAGGTTTGCTTGTGGAACTCTTAATTTTGCTCCCTTTTGTGAGTTTATTCTAGCATTCACCATTTTAGTTGAGACTGTATTCTGGTATATATTTTTCTGCCCAAGAGCCCTAGCTCATTCATTGTGCAGAAAGGGCTGTGCTTGGGGAGCCAGGCAGTTGGGCACAACTTATAATGCCCTTTGCCTCATTCACTGCCTGCCAACCAAATCCTGTGCTTAATCAGGGATTCACTTCCTCTTGAGCTGTTCTGTGGCACTCTAATGCTGGTATTTCGTAAGTGGTAATGAGGCTACCTTCATTTTTGAAGCAGGGAGAAATTGTCCTTGTTTTCTAGATATAAAGAAATCAGAGGCTGTAGTTAGTGAGAAGACACCCCACTAATTTGGGTGCCTGGCTTAATGCACTTCAGGTGTAAGATTTTAAGAGGAATGGAGCATTCATAGTTTCTCTTGAAACAGTAGTGGTTGGGGTGATAGGCAGATCCTCACTGCCAAGTACTTAACATATCTCAAGTTGGACACCTAGGAAACAAGGGAATCAGTTGGATCACCAGAAGAAAATGTTTTTGAGTGACTTGCCCAGCATCTATTAAACTTGTCAGTGGGCAAGGATGAAACTGGGCTACTTCTAGTATGGCTCCGGTGGATGGCAGCTTTATTCACTAACAATCTCACTTCCTTGCCATGCTTTGCTGATAAATGAGGGGCTGGAGGGGAAGTGTATTAAAGCTTCTCCATGCTGGTTGGGCCACCTTTTTGTAAGACTTCCTGACACTTATTTTTTTGACTTCTTAATTTTAATATTCTTTTAGTGCATTAGCATGTACTTTCATGTCTTCCTAAAACATTGGTAGGTAACCAGGAGCAAATTGTATTACATATGACTAAGTAGGTTATAGCCAACTTTGAACCCAGAACTTTCAGCATTCTTGGTACCACTTGGATTCAAGAAATAACTATAACAGGTGGTAAAAGAAGCTTATTCCCCTCTGGTCTAGCTGTAGAGTGGGGGCAAAGGGGAGAGGGATAGAAAAAAAATCTCCCTGAGGCAGTTGAGAGAGGGTTGTGTGTTTCTTTTGAGATCGGTGCTTTAGATGTGGCTCTTGTGCCATAGAGCTCCCTTGTTCTGAGCTTGAAAGAAGAACTTTAAATGCACAAAACCTGTTCAAGAAGTCATTCCTATTCATTGACCACTCAAAAGCATCCTGAAATGCTATGAGTGCAATCCTACTTCTTTTTCTTTAGAAGTCTACCATTGTCTGAGCCACTAGCTTCTGCTGGTATTGTGAGCAGTCATTTAAGACAGGTTTTGTGATATTATATTTAGGTGCTGACAGTTTTTCAGTCGCTGCTATAAAAGACAGTGCCTGCCCCAAGGTGCTTTCACTTGGAAACTGTGACATAATTTAAATTGATAAAAGCCAGAAAATTGATTTCTTTCTTAACTGGTCTTAAATCTAGTCCACTACACTTGGGGGATTTCGAGCCTTCTGAAAAAGGGATTTAAATGCAGGCAACTTTTCTGGTGCTATTGTTGCATTGTATATATCAAATGTATTTTTAAGTAGTCTGTTGCTTAGCTGGGCAACAGTGTGCACAGATGTAATTCACAGAGCATTAGTAAAATCATATGTTTGAAAACACTAAAGATTAAAATTGGCCACTTTTTAATTCCTATGATTTTGAATTAGTCCATTGTGATAAGTGCTTTCTGGAGCTGGGAAAAATGCCTGCAAGATGTGTTGTTGTTGTTGTAGCTCAGAGCAGCTGCTGACAATGTCCCTTGGTTTAGGTTAGGTACATGCTGCTTTTCTTAAATTTGGGAAAATGAAGCATGTACCTATCGCGTGTAATTCCTATACCTTAGTTTAGGAAGGAAGTTCAGAAGTAACTGAGGACTGTAGATTAGCACTGTAGATTAGCATTGAATTTTTTTTTTTTTTAAAGTAGGCATTCATATTTTTCTTTTTCTAACCTGATAACTGTGTAATGCAGATAAAAGTAACTTTAAGGTTTTGAAAAGGTTTGACTTTTTTGGATAATGTCTTGCGAGTGCTGTTTATCATGTATTTTTTTTAGTCACATGGGGCCTCTCACCATTTTTTATTAGATGCATAATTTATGGATTGATTGGTGACTTCCTTTTTATACTTGGGGCTTGAGTTATCACAAAACAGCTCTCAAAAGGCAGGCTGACAAATGAGGTGAGAATCCTGGGATACTTCCAAGTGTTCCTGTTTATGAACAGCTTTCTAGTCTACAGGTATTGCCTGTAGACCTATATTATTGAAGCTGAAAAAGCAAGGGGGCCAATACAGGCTGGTAGAAGAATTTGGAAGAAAGTCTTAATTGGAACACCTCTTTTTTTTTTTTTTTATTTAAGTCTTTTGGAAGGAAGTTAAAAATACTGCAGTAATACACATGAGCTTGGCATATCAAATCAGTACTGTAAAGCACAGGTATGGCCTCCTTATCTTTCTCCCAAACAAAGCAAATGGCTGCACATGAGATTCTCTCTCTCTTTTGGTTCCTCAGAGCATGTCCGTAGAAGGGGGTGGAGGAAGTTGAACTTGGCTCTGCCAGTCCAACAAAACAGGTAGTGCTTCTACTCCCACATGCCTCCTCCCTTCTCTAGTCAGTTTAGTTTATAAACCTGAACACTTCGGTGTTAAAAAGGATCTATGTCTTTTTTAATGTTTAGGCTTCCTTCTAGAAAATTGGGAAGTGGACAGGGAATCTTGTACAGTGAAGAATTACCAGATTAGATGATGGAATTTGCAGCAAAAATGGGCATCTCTAATTTCTAGCTGAGGAAAGGTGTCAACCCTAGTATGCATCTTCAAATTCCACACAGTAAGTTAAATAAGTAAGTTAGGCCCTCTTTAACTTTCAGTGTTTTCCATTTCCTGCAATTCATGAACCATGGCCAGTTACTTGCTACAAGTACAGCTTTTGAGAAGTGACTTGGAAGCCAGATGTGTAAGATAGCTTTAATAAAATGGTTCCACGGTTATTTAGTGGAGATTGTTGATGTATTGGTGCCTACTAGTAAAGATCTAGAGTTCTATGTGTAAGCCTGTAAACTTTTTGTGGGGAGAAACTATTCTGCAAGACCATAAGTAGTTATGTTTACAGTTTTCCCTTCTTGCGTAGAGGTCTGTATGTTACAGAAATGTGAAATTTGCTCATGGATTCCATACAAAGGATCCTAAATTTATTTATTTATATATATATATATATTTTTTTTATCAAGGCTTTTGATAGTCTCTTACAACATTCTCGCAGGCAAGCTCAGGAAGTCTGGGCTGGATGAATGGACTGTAACGTGAATAGAAAACTGGCTGGAGCATCAGGCTGAGAGGGTAGTAATCAAAGGCTCAAAGTCTAGTTGGCAACTGGTATCAAGTGGAGTGCCCCAGGAGTTGGTCCTGGGACTGGTTTGGTTCAATGGCCTTCATCAGTGACCTGGAAGATGTCATAGAGTGCACCCTCAGCAAGTTTGCAGATGACATCAAGTTGGGGGGAGTAGTACATACACTAGCGGGTAGGGCTAGGATTCAGAGTGACCTAGACAAATTGGGGGATTGGGCCAAAATGAATCTCTTGAGGTTCAACAAGGACAAGTGCAAAGTCCTGTACTTAGGAGGGAACAATCCCATGCACAAGTACAGGCTGGGGGGAGACTGGCTGGGCAGCAGCTCTGCAGAAAAGGACCTGGGGGTTACAGTGGACAATGAGTTGAATATGAGCCAGCAGTGTGCCCTTGTTGCCAAGAAGGGTAACGGCATTCTGGGCTACATTGGTAGGTGTGTTGCCAGTAGATCAGGGGAAGTGATTGTTCCCCTCTGGGTCACATCTGGAGTACTGTGTTCGTCTTTGGGCCCCCCACTACAGAAAGGATGTGGACAGATTGGAGAGAGTCCAGCGGAGGGCAGCAAAAATGGTGAGGGGGCTGGGGCACATGGTTTACGAGTAGAGGCTGAGGGAGCTGGTCTTGTTTAGTTTTGAGAAGAGAAGACTGAGTTGGGGGGGTTTACTAGCAGTCTTCAAAGTACCTGAAGGAGCGTTTGAAATAGGATAGAGCTAAACTGTTTACAGTGGTGGCAGATGATAGAACAGGAGCAATGGTTTCAAGTTGCAGCAAGGGAAGTTTAGGTTAGATGTTAGGAAGAATTAACTATTCCAGGAGGGTAGTAAAACACTGGAACAGGTTACCCAGAGGGGTGGTGGAAGCTCCATTCTTGGAAGTTTTCAAGACCCAACTAGACAAAGCCTTGGCTGTGATGATCTAGTTGGGGATGGTCCTGTTTTGAGCAGGGGCTGGACTAGATGACCTCCTGAGGTCCCTTCCAGCCCTCATTTTTTTGTGATTCTATGAAATGCCTTTGACTGATTGGTTAAAAATAGTATAAGGCTACTGAAGTAGATTAATATTTGTAATGGTTAATATATAATTTACTCAAACGCTCAGCTTTTGGTGTTTTTGATCAACTAAATCTCCAACTGTTTTGTAAGTTTTCTTTTAAATTTCAAATTACAGGTTCCCGACTAGCTCTGGCAAGACTACTCTCAGGTGAGTGTCTCATGTAGACAGATTACCTTACATTACCTAATAACATATTGACCCAATAAAACCAATTTTTTTTGGACTTAAGGTTTTAATATTGGGTCCCTTGTTTCCCATTAAGATGCTACATAATTTTTTCACCTCAGCTTCTTTTAGTCCTTTAAATTAATATTCCAGATTCATTTCTTCCCATTTCTGACCCATTCCACGCCTTTCTTTGCTGGCTGTCTTGCAGCTATTGATAAGCTGTTAAACATCCCAGAAAATGTTCACCAGCCCAGCTGCAAAATGTTGCTATTGCCTAGAGCTGTGGTTCTCAAACTTCTGGGTTCATTACCCCTATTTTAGCTTGTTCTTTTGTTGTTTTGTTCTGGAAAATGCAGAAAGCAGCACTTTACATCACTACAACCACATACTCATCTCTCCCACAACCCAAGGGATATTGTAGAGTTATGTTTCATGTTTTCCTTCTTCCTTTTCCTGCTTCTATATTTCTCCTCACCATTCTGTTCCAATTCTTCCTCTAATACACTATCTGAAAGATTGCCTTGTATACCCATTTGATGCGCCCTGGGTTTAGAGGGCAAGCACTTAGTTAAAATTATGCTGATTTAAATCAAGCTCTCATGGTGCTAGGTAGGGAAGACGTGTGGTTTTGTAGTGAGTATGTGAAACTCGGTCAGGACCCTTACGTTTCTGTTCTCAGCTGTTGCTGACATTAGGCAGTCTATTTAGTCTTTCTCTGCTCTTGTTAACGTGCTTGAAAAAAAGGACATAATACTTTGAGGGCTTAAAGTTTTTAAAAAGCACTTTGAGACCTTAGTAAAGAGACTGTAAAGACAAGAAAGCACAAAAAACCATAGAGATGTGCGTTTCCAAGGCAATTTCCACATTCTCAAAATGAAGGAAAACCAAACAGTCTTGAACCTTTTGACATGTTTAGTAAATTCAGACAATGAGGTCTGTAAAGCTCTGGGCTATTTCCAGCATTTTTTTTGTCTTTTGGTGGACAAGTGCCAAGCTGAAGTCCATCCAGATCAACTTAAATGACCTACTAAACTTTGCATTAAAAGATGGGAGAGACTGCACTTGACATTTACAAGAACAAGGAGCCTAGCTCGTGAGTCCTGAATCATCACTATAATGATTCTCAAGTTACATAATTGTCTCATATGAAACTTTTACATTTGAAAACCTAACCTGAAAAAGCAGCAGTAACACTCCCCAAAGCAAATAAAGCAGGAGCCTGTATAAAAGCACATATCTCTCCCTTATTTATCCTAATACTGTCTCCTTTCAGAAGTCTGTGGATTACACCGGTGAAGTAGTGCCTGGTCCCAAAGTGGGGAGAAACATTGACTCCTTTGGACAGAAGTCCCATCTCATTTATATGTTGGCAGGATGTCAGTGTCTGTTGCATGTGGCTTTGTGGAAGTTAGGGGATGTCTGAGCAGGTGTGGAAATGGGGATTCCCTTTGGGTGTGCCCAAATCATTCTCCACTACCAGCGAAGTTGAGCTTGCAAGTTACCTCACTGTGTCAAGGCTGTTGTTGACTGATCAGAAGTGTGCACTTCTGATGCAGCATGTTTGGTTAACAGCAAAGTCTTTTTTTATTTATCAGTGGTTTATAGTAGTGGCAAACTAATTTGCTTAGTTGTGCAAGTTGTTTAAAGGAGCTTTGCACTTTCATTAAGCAATCTAATTGGGAGGAAGAGTGTGTTGTGTGGTAGTATGCAAGGTGTTTCCCAGCAATATCACAACTGCAGCTTTGGTAACATGCATTTTTCTTGTCATTTCTCAGATGGTTGGTATTTATAGTATTTCAGTCTTTAGAGTCTCTTCTCAAGATGATATTTTTTTTTTTGGGCATAGGAGGTTGGGGAGAAGAGAACCAGTTGAAATATGTACTGTTTCTTTTCTCCCTCTTGAGTCTAGGCAATAATTTATGAGAGAGGGTGAATAAATAGAATTTGGCCCTGGGTTGTAAGTTTCATGACACTTTGAGCTTTTAGTTTTGGAGAACTAGAAAACTTGCATTGGCCAGGAAGCAGCTTGTTTTGTAGTTAAAGGGTCTTGAACGCTTTAACTACAGCAATCCCCCACTCATGCTTCTTTGGTGTTGCAGTGCTGTTCCCTTCCTCCTATGTAAAAATGAATGCTGCTAGGGTATTGTTGGAGTGAGGTTGTAGCTGTGGTACCGCCCACAAAAATCCTGGCCTCTCGCATACAGTTAGGAATATATTTCATTTACTTGAAGGACATGCACTGAGACTGTTTGACTTCTTTGTGCTTTACTGTAACCTGGAGGAGGGGAAACAGGAATGTAAGAAAATTTGACACTTTACTCCTTGACAAAAAATGTAGACATTTAGGAAATAGCTGAAATTCCCTGGAAACCCACTGAATGAAGCCATAGCTGCTTTGCAGAAAGGTGTGAAGGATGTATGGTTTTTCTCTCTTTCCCCTACCCCCAACCCCACATTACATCCTAATATAGTTGAATGGGTGTACTTTGTATATGCTGTGCTTAATTATCTTGGCCATAAGCAGTTGCACTTGCCTTTGCTGGTGTTAAATATTCTTCAGAGTAGCAGGAGAGTTTAGTTCTACTTCTGACAGTTCACTGCCCTGGCCTCTGCAGCAAGGGACTGAAGTTCCCTGCAGCAGTCTGGCTTCTGTGACCTTCTGCTAGGCTGTCATTTACACACAGCTCCTGATTTGCTTCTAGAGGTTAGCCTGTCCATGTTGCATGATGGCTTTGCTGAAGCTGTCCCCAGAGCAAGTATTCAGATCCCTATTGCTCTGCTAGACTTGTATTAAAAAACAAACGAACAGACTGTGGAGCTGATTTTTTTTTTTTTTTTTTAATTTTTTTTTTTTTTTTAAAAATCTTTGGTGTTTTTGACTGTAGGCTGGTGGTTAGTGGTTTCACAGATTTCACAGACATTAGGGCTGGAAGGGACCTTGGATGATCATCGAGTCCAGCCCCCTGCCCCAGGGGCAGGAAGTCAGCTGGAGTCACAGGATCCCAGCAAGATAAACATCCAATTGTTTTCTTGAAGGCGTTCAGAGTAGGTGCTTGAACCACCTTCGGTGGCAGGCTATTCCAGACCTTGGGGGCTCGGACAGTAAAGAAATTCTTCCTTATGTCCAGCCTGAAACGGTCTTGCAGGAGTTTATAATGGTTCGACCTCTGGTGAACAATCATTCCCCTGAATCCTGGTGGTCACCCCTGATAAACTTATAGGTGGCCATCAGATCACCCCTGAGCCTGCGCTTTTCCAGGCTGAAGAGTCCCAGGGCTCTCAGCCTCTCATCATAAGGTCTGTTTTCCTGACCTCTGATCATGTGCGTGGCTCTTCTCTGGACTCTCTCAAGCTTCTCCACATCCTTTTTGAATTGTGGAGCCCAAAACTGGATGCAGCACTCCAGCTGTGGCCTCACCAAGGCCGAGTACAACGGGAGAATGATGTCCTGGGATTTGCTTGAGAAGCATCTATGGATGCAAGCCAGCGTTCTGCTTGCTTTGCTAGCTGCAGCATCACATTGAAGGCTCGTGTTCATCTTGTGGTCAATCATGACCCCCAAGTCCCTTTCATCTGTAGTGCTAGCCAGCGTAGCACTGCCGAGCCT